ACTGATAATGATAGTATACTATGCAATAATTTGTTTGATTATTTCAATATGATATAGTAGATTATTTCAATGTGATCAGTATGATCAATTGATAATGACAGTATGCTATGCAATAATTTGATGGATTATTTCAACATGATATAGTAGATAATTTCAATATGATCAGTATGATCAAATGATAATGACAGTATGCTATGCAATAATTTGATGGATTATTTCAACATGATATAGTAGATTATTTCAATATGATCAGCATGATATTGATAATGATAGTATGCTATGCGATTATTTGGTAGATTATTTCAATGTGATCAATATCAAAAATTTTTTTCATAATAATATGATGAATATTTAGATTGAATTGAAAGTAATCATTCGATATTATAAAAACAAAAATGAAACAATGGAAAATATTGTTACTGATAAAGTAACCATTTCATCAACTTTAATTGATGCATTGAAACTTTTACTTCGTAACACATCAATTTCATTAATGTAAGTTAATCACAAAATTGTCTAACACGCCTTTTACGTATATTATATTATATCATTATACTATTGTATACGTATTTAGCACATCTTTTACGCAATATCTTCCTTCAAAGATCACATGTTAAAATAACAGCACAAAATTTTTTTATTAGATATAAAAGTATGACCGAAGCTATTATAATTAATTACATAATATGAAAAGATTTAATTTCACATCATATTATTAATAATGAAAAGTTCTGGATAATATATATATAAAATTACGGTATATATATATGTACCGTCACTTTATGAATTACACCGAACTGTTTTATTTAAAAAGTAAAATTTCATACTCATAAACTCTTCCATTTATATTTCCATTGATTTTTCTTGTTGCCAATAATTTCAATATCAATAATTATTCCTTAATATGTATTAAATCAAAGGAGTATCATTTTGATGATCCATTTCAACTTATTCTCGAAAAACTCTTTTTCAATTTATTAATACGAATTTGAGTAAATCAATTCAAATTTTCTACCTTTCATTTACTATAAAATTATAAGAAATTATTCCTTCCAGCAATTTTATCAAAAAAAGACTACTTTTTTTTAAAAAAAAGCATCATTTATCTAAAAACAGAAGAATAAGTGTTCCAATTTATTTTTAGTGGCAACGATTATGGACGTTTGTTCTTATTTCCTGATCGTAAAAGAAATGATAAAATACGTGAATTATCATATGATCAGAATCGTTACAAGCAACTAACGGAATTTTGTAAATCCGGAAGCAGATGCACATTATTGCTTGATCTAACTAATACATTCTTGAAGCAAGCATCATAGAAATTTTTAGATATTATTAGATTGACAAAATTGGAAATGACAAATAACTAGAATTCTATATATAGCTAATATCCATCACTTTTTTCTGTCACCAATTTAGTGAGAAAGATTAAACTTGTTTGAAGAAGTATAAAACTTAAGTTTTATATTTCAAATTGAAGTAATGAATTTAAAGATCGCTCTAACTTATATATTTTGCATAAGTAACTAATTGCATTATAAAATGCTTTGAAAGTTTTATGACAATGAAAAAGAATCACAATGTAAGTATTACGAAAATTATTATCCGATCTTCCCCAACACCGAATAATATTTGGAGTTTACCTTTCATAGGAATTTAGAAATTACAAAAATCAAAATGAAATTGAAAATTCTAAAAATGACTGAAATCAATCCTTTCGAGTTCATGTAAAAAAATCATGATTGATCTGGGGAGATTCCTAAAATTACTACTCTTATTATTATTACTACTACCACACGATCAACTCTGAGGTCTTGTTAAATTTGCACGATCTTTGCATTGTTTTGATTTATGGAATTTGTGATCTTTAATTTTGTAGCACATTAATTTGTGAATACAATAAATCAATTGTATTCTATTACAATTTCGGGATAGATTCCTCATTTAATTAATTCTTAAACATATTTATCAAAAAAAACATTCTTATTGCCAAGTTCTGGATAAAAATAATATTAGGAAACTTCCTAAAACTGAAATGTAAATTTAATTGTACAACTGTCAACATTTTTCAATTCAAACTTAGCGGCAATTGCTAACGTAAAAATACTTGAATTTGCCGAAAGCAATCAGAAAGAATGCAGCAATAGGTTAAAGTTCGTAGAAAAATTTTTACGAAAACTTTACAAAAAAATAAATCAATTTATTTAACTAAATTTTATAAAATCAAGTCATTAGAAATCACCCATATTAATGCTTCTTATGGAAGGGAAATTTCAGCAAAAAAACTTCATCCAATAAAATTTAAAGTTAAATAAAATAACAAATTATAATACCATAAATCATTTTTATATAGCTAAAGTCAAACTATCATCAACCTTATCATTCTATTCCATATATAGCTTTTCTCCCCGTATTATTTACTATCTATATTTGGTATATCTCAATGATTCAAAATTATTATCATTGCTGAAATTTTTAAAAACTTTGACATTATTTGTAACATTTAAAAATCAACAATATGAGGTCAATCAATTTGTTAATTTAAACATGTCATGATTTAAACGTTATTATATAATTCATACTTGTAAATATTACTGATATATTTCGTTTTATCTTAAACAAACGTAATGATAATTTTTCATTGTTTCATCTTTATAAAGAAAAAGAAGTACATATATACTGTATATATATATATACATACATCAATAAAATAAACTCTTAATTCTTTTCTCATCCAATCTCTTTTTCAAAATAAGAAGAAAATTAAAATAAACTTGTTGTACACGTCATAAAATAAATCTATCAAAGTAATAAGAAAGGAAAGGTAAGGTAAAATAATTAAAAGAACAATATGAAAATTAAAAAAAACAATAAGTAGTATCAAATATGAATTATGTAAAAATAAAAATGATGATTGAAAAATTGTAAAAAATTTTCCCCATAAAAATACAACACACAAACATACACATACACATACACATACACACAGATACATACACATACATATACATCAACATCACATCACCTACAAATAGTACAATTAAAAATTTCATTTCTTTAAAACAAAAGAAAAAGAGAAAGATTATAAAGTGAAAATATCAACGGTTTGACAAAGACAAATGGACTTAGAAATAACACGAAAGAGATTTCCTTCTACAATTCACCTTTAACATTTGAAAATTATAGGTAAAAATTTCCTTCTACAATTCACCTTTAACATTTGAAAATCATAGGTAAAATTTGTTTTCTAAATTTCAATTTATATAACAAATATAAAATTATTGTACAAAAATAATTCTATGCAAGTTTTCCTAGAATTTTTGTATGCCTAACATACACATACACACACACACACACACATACGCAATACACACAAGACAGATATACAACATACACACCATACGCATAAAAAATAGCAGCCAATCGTAAGCATCACATAAATCATTTATCATTAAAAAAAAGTAATACAAGTGGAAATACTAGGAATCGGGAAGAAAAGTTGGTAATTGCATTTCTTGAAATCCTGCTTTTCAAATCAGTAAAAAGTAATTTCGGATGAAATGAAAATATGGAACTAAAGAGTAGGATAGTAAATAGGAAAAAGAAATCCAAGTTATACGATATGCAGAAATTTCGAAGAGACTGAATCCAAAGGAATATTTTAGGATAAAATAAAGTATAACTGATAGGAACTATTAATTAGAAGAGCTTAGCCTAATAAGATATCTGTTCGTAATTCCATATTTTCTTCTTACAAAATATGGCATAAAATGAAAAATTCCTCAAAGTGAAAAATTTTTGTTGTTGCAGCTTTTTCACAATATAAAAAGAAAGATGAAGAGAAAAAAACGAGAAAGAAAGAAGAGAGAAAGAGTGTTTGTATAATAATACAAATGATAATAGTAATAATAATATTAATAATAATAATAATAGTAATAATAATAATAATAATAATAATAGTGATAAAAATAGTTGATATGCAATATTAATCAGAAAAAGGAAATGAAAAAGAAATGTTAGACAAATAAAAACAAAACAAGCATCAAGTGATCGATCAATTGATTGATTTTAGTGATACTATAAAATCTTCAACAACCATAAAGCTCATAATATAAATAAAATTTGGCAAAAAAAAAGATGGAAAGAAATTTTCTAAGAATAAAATTAAAAATTGTAAACAAATGAATGACATGGAACGAATAATATAGTAGCAATAATATTAAGATTTTATTCGTTTACAGCGGCTAAAACAACTTATCAAATGGATAATAACTAAGTGAGTAACTAGAATTAACGCATAAATGAGTAAAGAACTTGAAATGATCAACTTGAACTTACAATTCCCATCCTTATTCGTTGCCCGAAATTATTCAAAAGGAAAAAGAAAGAGAAAGAACTTCCTGGAGAAAGAATCAGAGAATGTACAATTAGAAATTTCGAATATCTAGAAATGCGTAATACAGAATATCAAATTTCCAGAAATGAAGCCTAATACATTTCAAAATCTGTAGCATTCTCGATCAACACAACATGATCAAACCCAAAAGAAAATGATTAACGAAAAAAACGTCAATATGCTAACAATATAATTTTTAAACATATGAATATAAGCTTGCGTACATGTGATAATGTTTTGTATACAATACAAATATGTGAATTACTCAAATTCTTTTTAAAAAAAGCTGACTTATAATATCCCAACTTCTGTACATTTCATATTCATAGATAGAAATTACTATCTATTAAAAGAACCCAGTCGGAACACTGATAATATTCAATAATTTCAACAGAAATACATGACAACCTGTTAATCACGTACAGGCGATTACGGAACGTTTTAATAAAAACTAAAAAGAATTCTAATATTCCAAAATTACACCATAAAATAGTGTAGTTTACCAATTACTAATTTTGAAAAAGCCTTAAATGGAGGTGAATTATTCTTGAAACACCAAATGCATGTAGACAAAAATACAGAATTTATTCACAAAAGCTGACGCCTATATACGTGCCATTTCATTTCGGTTTGCAGTTGACGTTTGAACCGCCGTTGTCAATTGCGAATTTGCTCTCACAGGACGTCGCATTGGTCCCGGGTGTTCCTACAAAAGAATGATAACTTTTAATTTTAAATAAATTTTCAAAAAAATAAGACATAAAATATTTTAAATGACTTCTCTAATCGAAATTCGGATATAGAAGATGCAAAATATATATTCCTACACATTATACAAACTATTACCATATAGTGAACATGATCCAATTCGGAAAATTTCAAAATCTATAAACTTCTACGGCGAAAATCAATGTCAACATGCAAAAAAAAAAATATATATTCTAATGAAACTCGAAATAAACTATACTGTTATCTTGATTTCGAATTCTGAAAATGAGGGATCAAAAACAACAAGTCCTATATAGGCGAAGATATTTATAACTAATTTCATTCAGGTCTTAATTCAGAACAATTAAAAGTGAATTCAATTGGAAGGAAATAAAATGCATGAAAAAGGAAAAAATATATAAGAGATATCAGACGCATACGACATACCACAGAATGAATTTTTTGACTTGGTAAATAAAATGTGCAAGAATGCCATTGTGTCCTAGCACTTAAGTTTAGAAATAAATGAAGTAGAAGACGGAAAAAACCAAAATTGATTTTTAAAATACAAACACGTTATAAAAACAATCACGTTTTAAAAACGTCGAAACGATACAAGCAAAGAAGACATGCATAATGTAACGGAAAGCACAACATGCATAATGTGACCAATCAATTTACGCTACTATTGCATCAGTAAGGGCACGATAGTTACATAAATCCCAACATTTGTGATCTACGCATTCAGCAAAACAATGAGAAAAAAAGTTACACTTAAAAAAGCTATTGTACAGCAGTGAATTGAGTGGCCACTCTTCTCCACGATAACTATAAAGCTTACCATCTGAACTTTTGCTATGAGAACTCAATGGGCGAGTTTTGGACTGCATCAATTCAAAATCACGTCGGGAAGTATTACTTAAAGTTTGCGCACCATGCAAATTAGCTGTCGCCGTACTGCTCGAACGCATTATCGGGTTAATAAGTTGACGTACCTGTCAAATTGAGAATTAGGTTTTTGTCAGAGTACCACGGAAAGATTACATAGAATGCAGGGACAATAAGTGGATAAATGAGTAAAAAGTTAAAACAATACTTGGAGTTACATCTAATTATGTCAGACACATATAACGTAGACTTTTCTGCGGAATACGTTGACTTGCAAGAAAAATTCGGAAATATTTAATAAACAACGGAAATTCCCGTGATATCGCAAGTTGTATAGAAAATTTGGTTTTTTAAGGAAAGCAAATTATTTGCTGGAAATAAGATAGTGCAGCAACTTAGATATTAACAGAAAGAACAAAACAAACAATGACAACACAAATATTGGTACTATTGCTATTACTGAAAATATTGCCACGAATATTAATATTAATAGTACCAAAACTCCAACACAGAATGCTCATCATTTTGCAACAAAATGAATGTATCAAGGGTATCATGCAAGCAAAAAATCTATAAATTATAGCTGAAAGCAAGCTATGTCCATAGAGATAAATAACAGTTATAAAAATAAGGATCACACAACATTTCCACATGACAAAATATATCTGGCATACCTTATCAGCAGTACCGCTTCCAATACTACTTTGCGAATGAGTTGCAGGACCAAGTTGTTTTAAATCCATTAAATTTTGTAATTCCAATCCTGCTCCAGGACCCATATGAACAATATGGACAAAATCAGATGGACCACTGATAGGTAACTGGCTTCGACGATCACCAATTCTATAAAAAATAATTTTTTAAGCGATGAATTATTGAATTTTTAAAAAGTATGACGATTAATATTTGACAAATACAAATACACCTACAACCAAACAGACATTATGGGGCAAAGTAGAAATCATTCATTTCTTTAGCCATACATCACATCACGATATCAACTGCAGTAAGCGGCAATAATGGAGCAATGAAGAATGAAGAAGAAAAAATAGAAACATGGCTCAAGAGAAAAAAATTTTCAAATGCATTTTAAAATTCGATAAATTTAAGATTTTTGTTCGAAAATATTGCAACATTATTTCCGCTGGATATCACAAAATATACCTTCCATGTCGATCATCATCACGTGATGTACGTATAGAGAATTTTCGCCGACGTTTGGCAGCCATGCCTTTCAAAGAAACTGCATTCGAAACGCTGGACGATGTCCAAACAGGAATATTTACTGCATCTTCATCTGCAAATTATTAACAATCAAGTTAGCAAATCAACAGAGGAAGAGAGAAGGAATGAGAATGAGAGAAAAACAAAAGGCGAAACAGAAGTAGGAGTCAAAAAAGTTTTCAAAAAATCAACAATCACAATTAAGCGATAAAATCGATATAATATGACAATTCATCAATCTGATGTACAGGATAAAATTTTTTAATAGTAGTAATGTATCAAAGTAACTGAAGCAATTAAATTAGTTTAATAAAAATATTTTGTTGAGCAAGATATGTTTATAAATTTCGGTCCACGTAGCTGCCTAATTTGTGGAAAAAACAGTTGTATTTCTTCAATATAAATGGTATTTATTAAAAAAATATTAAACTTTATGTAAAAGCAGAAAAAGTAAGCCAGTGGTTATCAGCACCTGAGAGCACATCCGAAAGTAACACGACGTATGGCATATCGTTCACCATGCACATTGTCAATAACCCGTTACTCGTCAGCGGAAATGCCTGAAAAAAAATTTTTTTTTAATTCAGAACTACAAGATCAATGAGTGAAATGCATATTCATCCACAATTCAAAATCAGTGAATCACACGTTTCCGGAAAGTTTGCTATGGGCAGGTCGTAACACCGAAAATAAATTTTCTCGGTCAAAGTTCGAAAAGCATATATGAACACAAAATGCTTGGGCATGGAAGGTGTTTTAAAAAAATTTTAAAATTCAAAACATGTAAAAACATTCCAGTTTGTACTTACATATCTTTACAAAATGTAATATTTGAAGAAATTACTTCATGACACAGAAAATTCTGCTGATGAAATAATCCAAATTACAAATTAAAATTAATTCAAATCAGATTGAAGCAATTTACAAAATTTTTGGGCACCTTTGGAAAATTTCAATCCAAAGGATTGATTATTTCTCTTTTTTTATGGTTTGCAAAAAATTTGTTTAAATGAGACCTTATTTAAATTGACAGTTTGCACCCACTCAGCACTATTCACATTGAAAATATCAATTTCATTAGCTGAATAAACACATAAATGAGGCGCCATATAGACAAAACCACCCGATGATGCTTCCGCAGGAAACATCAGTTCTTGTGAGCGACATCGACGACCTGAAAGAATATTCCAAAATTCTCAAATTTCATTCCAATAACAAGTATTAAAAAACATTAGTTGTAGATATTAAAAAGTACTGATCTTCTGAGAAATTTTCATTCGCCAGAAGAGACTTTAATTTTCTAATCCGTTTGATTCATTCATATCGATGTGATCAAGCTACAGTTACATGAATAAAGCTCACTTATATGTGTAAACCGCAAACATTTCCATCACAGAGGTAAAAAAGTTTATAAAATATTTAACTATAAACTAACCTTGTGCATCCACATAAACACCAAGACGTGAAAATATCAAAAGAAATTCCTTTTGCTCATACCCGCTAACATTGATAATTAAGTGAGCATCATATAATGTTTGATTAAGAAATTGAAGTGAAGAATCTTCAAAATTTACCAATGCTGAAATTAATTTGAAACTGAATAAATGTCGTTAAACGACATCTTTTTGCAATAAAACCTTAATCATGTCACACATTTTCTTTCTTGAAATCAGGCAAATAAACCAGGTTTTTACGATTAGATCTATGAAACTTATTCATTTTTTATAAACAAAAACTATGCATGACTTGAGCTGTCCCTGAAAGTAAATGAATTTTGGTAAGAAATTTCAATTTCACAAGTTCCTGAAAGATTCCTTTTGCTACTGAAAGTAACTGAAATTTTATTTGAAATTCTATAAAAAAAGTAACTGAAATTTTACATGTGTTTGATAATTTTCAAAAAAGATTGAAAAGTGCTCAATAAAGGCATACCAGTAGTAGTGTTATCCACAAGATCCCACATGCGAAAACCGGACGGATAACCAACACACAGTTTACCACGCATTACTGTCATTGTTTGCGGCTGTCCGGGCATTGCCAATTCTCGAACCTTTCGATGTCTTTTTTCACTTCGATCAATTTGGAAAACGAGTACCTTAAAAAAAGACTCCAAAATAAAAAATAAAATTCTCAAATACGCTAGTACATCTAGAGTACAAGTAAAGAAATAAAATTGCTTTTAACAAGGTGTAATTAATTACCCACATTTAGAAACACTGAAATTTTAAGAATACCTGTTATAGCAAAGTCAACTTCGATGAAGGTTTATTATTTGTGTTACAATTACATAGCAGATACAGTTTTCAGCAGGTAGCTCAGAATGCGAATCATTCATATCGCATGCATTAATTCATTCACTTACTATTGCACTACTAACATTGTGAAATAGCACTGAGACTATCAAACGCATATCAATTTTTTGAAAGTAAAAAAGAACCGATTTCTTGATTGCGACGCAGAAATAATGGCATGGATCGCTCGAGCTACCAGCACCCACCGTCATAAGATGACAACCTTTTGTTTCTGCTACTTTAATCCACTTCAAATCACGGCCATCAAGTGCAGCCATTGGTATTAGACGAACATGACGATCTTTTTGTGGACCAACCAATACCACGAATAGCTTAAATTCATTAATTTGATTTCCAAAAATATAAGTGAAAAAAATAAAAGATAAAGTAATATTTGAAAGGAATATGAAATTTAGTATTTATTGAAATACTTGATATTATTTCCTAGTCATTATGCTTAAATCATTATGATTCGATTTTTAATAGTTACCTGTTCTTCCGCATTATACTCGACTCGCTCAACTGTCCGTTTATTGTTTTCCTTCTCACCACCAACCATTGTAATTGACTGAAATCAATGGTCAATGCAGTAACCATGAATCTTTTTAAAAATTTACATAATAGTGAAAGTAAAATATATAAAATCCTTTATTTCCTCATTTCATCACTTTTATTATCAAAAAGTTAACCAAATCCGTCTTGTGGTCGAGTAAAAGTAAGTTTTACCGAAGCAAGAAGCTTTTACAATTCACTAAAGCTTAATACATACGTATCAGACTGTACGAATCAAATGAAATACAAAGATAATTCATTTGAAAGATACAATGAACAGAGACATTGTTATTGAAATGGAACTGTAGATCGCATATTTGAAGTTTGTAAAATGTTTCCAAGAAATAAAAGAATCAACTCAATCCTTCATTCAATATGTTCCCCGTTTTAGCCTGTTAAAAGTTTAAATTCTTAACTTCTTCCATGAATTCAAATTATAAACTAACATTATGAGTGCGGAGACAAAAAGCAAGTGTTCATATATAGAGTTAAGAGGAGATTTGAAAAGAGATTTTTGGAGATTTGAATTGATTCCTACCAATTCAATCTGCCTAACTTATTTTCCAATCAAACTCAACTGCTCTTCTACTTGTCACTTAGGTATGGGTATATATTTATCCAAAGAATTCATTCATTTCAAAATCATGGTAGGTTGAAAATCCTTTCAAAATTTCAGCAAAAAGAAATTAATAACAGGAAAGATAAAATGGTAATGATACGAGCAATCGGTGAAATGTACATTGAAATAACTGGCTTAATGGCTACTTTTTGGGCATGTAATGTAGTTATGAAATATTTGTATCATCAAACAAGTATTTCATTTTTGAAGGAATTAACCGCTGTTATATTATGCTATGTTATAATGCCACTCTTTACCCTCGCTAACATTCTCCATTCCAAATCTGCAAAAGTATGGCAGAGATCTCGAATTTTACACAATTCCAAAATTCTCCTTTTTACTATCATCGAAGTAAGTTATATGATAAATCTCATGACTATTTTCACCTTCTTATGAAAATGAGAAAAAAAGTTGCATGAAAATATTTTAGCTGTCACGATAGATGCAGAAAAGAAAAAAAACTTTTTATAGTTCCATATGCAACAGATTTCTCCTTATTAGAAAGTAATTTGAGAAATAAATCAATGTTCGATCAAATGAATGGAATCAACAATTAATAGTGAGCAAAGTTACTAATCAAATAATTGAACAGTCAAGTCAGTGAAATTAGTGATAAAAGAGATGAAAGAAATAATGAAAGCATAAGGTTCCCAAGGTTCAAAATATCCCCAAAATATTCAATGATATATTCGGGTGAATTCCATTATAAAGTAACAAACAAACTGTAGCTTGCTTGCAGGGCATTTTATCAGGTTACATATTGAGTGACAGGGAATATTATCAGACATCACCTGCCGTTTGGTTTATACCCTTATGTATTGCATTTGCGACATATACAAAATATTTCAATATCGGCTCGTATGTCACCCACTACTTTCCTTCCATTTTACTATTCAAACTCGAAATAAAACCAATAATTTATAAATTGATAAATAAGAAAACAAATATAATGAACAAATCGAAAAGCACGTAAACATCATAGAAATTAATTATCCAAGTCTAAGTGAGCAGTACTATTTCGATTTTTCGGATGTTGGCTAACGAAATTTCAAAAAACACTACAATTTTTATAAACTAGGTAAATTCAATGTCTAAACCACAATAATGCGATTAAGTAATTAAAATCAGAAGTTGAAAAAACAAAAAAGAACTATAGAAACCGTAATGTATATGAGTAAATGCTAGTGTAAAGCTTTTATATTACTTGTGCAACTTACTTCATTACTTCTATTTGATTTTATGCTACTTGCAAAAAAATGAATAAATAAAACTAGAAATTTTTGTAGATGTCCCGAAAAATTGCTATTTGTATCAGTTGGATTGAGTGTAATCAACCAATTAGTCTTTGGACTAATTGTGGGAATTACATTCTCATATTTATGCATATCCGCCATTTATGTTATCATTGGACTTTTTGCCGTTCAATTTTACATACAAAAATATCGGGAAGAAAAAGTAATTTTGTCAAACAACTTTTATGAAAAGAAATCTGAAAAGAAAAACAGAAGGAAATTTTAGATAACAATTTCCAGTAATATAGGGAGTTTGGTAAAGCACACGGAGATCTAGAATAATATATTCTGTATCTTCAGGAAATTTTCAAGTTAAAAGTTTCATTCTCAAAATTTGCAAGGACATTAAATTGGAATTTTGTAATTAAATCCTTATGATATTCTTTACACTAACCATATCTGATTTCACTTTTAATTTTAGCCCCTGTTTTTATTCTTTTCCGAATTTTGTTGCAGCAATTCCATGAATTATACCAAATGTCATATATATTAGCCAATGTCTACGCAGAATTATTCATTAGTTACATTTTTGCTTATGGTTATTAAAATCATTCTTATCCAATCTCCAAATTAAAATACCCATATGAATATTTGCTGTACTGTAAGTTTGAATGATTCAATAAAACATTTTTTCAATTTTATGTTGCTGCAAAGAAAGGAAAAAAAATGAAGAATAGAATAGTATACCTCACGATCCAAATCGACCGCATATAAACCATAATCTGTGAAACCCATAACAATTTTGCTTTTATCTATAATTGCAGCACACTGCGCATTTCGAAGCTCACGAAATGTTAACGAATCAAACACTTCCTAAATTTGAATTCTAATTTGAAGAATTTCCAATAAAAAACTCCAAAATATAATTCTTCTTCTAATGTCTATAATTGAACCATTGTATAAAGAAAGTAACGGCTTCATCCAAGCCTATATAACGATTAAGCTTCGAAAATCCTTCGAAAATCATAATTCGTAGCCTTTTATCGCATTGACAGAATAGCTTGCTCAAAATATTCATTTATCTGCATCAGCAGCAACAACAGTTAAATTTTGGAAACATCTTCAAAAAATTTAAGAGAATGATGTCAGTACTCTTCTTGACACCAACAATGACATCAATAATACTTACCTTAACCATAAAATACTTACCATAAAATACATAAATAAAATACATAAAATTACATCAATAATACTTACCTTAACCATAAAAGCACTCTTATCAACGAGTTTTGTTCGACGTAGAAGACTTTTTAGTTCATTCAAAGCAATTACCCACTTCGTCTTTTCCTAAATTACAAAATTACTATAGCAAAGTTGAGCCACATAAAATGATCGTTTTTATTATAATAGGTCATGTGATGTTTAGAAATATTGCTGAATTCCACACTTCAAGGCTCAGAATGTACGTATCATAATACGTACAAAATTCGATAGCCTCACAAATGAATATGACTGGAAATCTTTATAAAGAAAATATTAGCTTCAACCTACATCAGGATCATCTGCCATGAGAAGAGTGTATTGTCGTGAAACAGGTCCTTCAGATGATGCGCTTCCGTTACTTGACGTGGATCCCGTCGTGTTGATACCCGATGTTGGCAGTGTACCGTGAATTTGGCTTGTTGTTATGCGAAATATTTTTGGTAAATCAGACTTTGATGCGTGAATAACTTCGGCTTCCGTAACACCTGTTACTGTGAAATCCGTATCACGCATGTCCAAAACCTGAAAGGAAAAAGTTACTCAATTTCATCAAACTTGATAGCTAGAGGAACCAAAATTCCTAAAATATTTCCAATTGAATAACTTAATTTTAAAAGGCAAAATTTAAATCAGATTTCAAAAGGAAACACATCAACACAGTTACCTGTCTGATAACTGGATGAATATCGATCGCTTTTCCATTTTTGTCTGTGCTACAGTCGTACAGATATAGCTTAAAGTCGCATACAACAACATACGTCGACTGCCAACCACGTTTGACCCCAGATGGTTTTGGTGTTTTAACTAATCCTAAATCAAATTTTAAACCTGTTGAACGACGATAAACATGAAATAAACAATCGCCTCAGGTTAGGTTAGAAGAACTTCCCAAGAATAGTCGATATCTTACGAAATAATGGGAAATAGGATTCAATTTAAAATTACCTTCATAAGCAGTGCCTGTTCCTCTTTGCGGATCAATACCTAATGGTCTTCTTGCTTCTGGCGGAACCGGACAAACCAACGGTACTTTCGGCAAGCAAGCAACATGGCATGCATACTGACAGTCTTGACAGAAGAGTCCTGAAAAGATGTGAGGAATATATTCTTTCAATTATTTGGGTATATCATTTTTTTTTGCTTATGAACTCTCTGGTTGACCAGATGTTAACCAAAATCTAGTTCCTAAAATTATCACCGATTTCATCACATAATAATCAGTACTGAATATCGAAGAATGATCTACACAACTGATCACTCGTCAATAATACTAAGCAGATTTTCCAAGCAAACCTTGTCGATCCAAGCCGATTAGAACTGATGTACAGTAAGCACATTTCGATGGTGTTTGTAAGTGTATATGTGAAAATCGATGACCTTTACCATTCAATGCATTATTCAAAGTCTGAATAACCTGAAAATAAGAGGAAGACTGAGGAAATAGAATAGTTTGTCTCAGATGTCTAACGATTTCTTTCAAAACCTGATGTATGATTGCTTCATTCTACAGAAACTTGTCCAATGAAGTCCAATATTTTAAATAATTTGAAGATAAAACTACGATGACTGCAATAACCTACTTTTGGACTAGCTCCTCTTCCTTGTGTACCCATAACCAGTGTTGAAGCGGTACTCGGTGTCGGCGTAAGAACTCTAGTATTCTCGTATGTTGGAAGTGACGACGGTGAAGTACTACTGAAAATGTTCATGGAATTTAAATCATAACAATTGGTTAATAAAGATTACTTTTTCATTTTCTTCTTTCTTTCTTCTTCCGCCCTCCAAAATGCAAAAATAGAGGTTCAATTAATGCTTGAAACACTTCAGATAACCAATGTGTTATTACATGTTTATTTTGGTCAGCCGAAGAAAAATGACAAGTACCTATTAAAAGAGTGTTGCTTCAACTGCTGATGTCGTCTCAACGAACTATTTGAAACTTCATAATCACTTCCATTTGCTGGGGAAGAAATACTACCGAAACTTTCGCGATATAACATCGAGACATTTTGAACTGAAACGAAAACATCTGATTAAAAAACAGTTTGAACTAAACATCAAAAAATGCAATGAATAACTGGATTCAAATAAAATCAATAAGGACTAATTAGAGAAGAAATGAAATGAAGTTTAATAATGGGAATTTTCGCTCTCTCCAAGTATTGATTTTGGTCTTATCTGCAATGCATAATTTTCATATTAAATGAGCTACAGTGAAAGATGGACCATAAAACCTCTCTCTACCTGATGACAACCTATCATTGCTTACGCCACCAACAACGCTGAAAAAAGAGCTGCTTTGGTCCGGAAAATCCGAATGCTGTGCTAAAATTCGAGACAATTGCTCTTTTTCATCAGTTAAGCGTTCGATTTCACGATTTTGCTCGGCAATCTGAAATAATGGTGAATTTCCATTCAATTAAATGAATAATTTTGTTTGACTTAGATGAAATTATTACTAATTTCATTTAAATCAATTACTCAAAAATCCCTGTGAACACCTTATACCGGGTTTTCGTCATTTCCAGTTGTATTTTTATTAAAGATACGACTGATCGGAGGCGATGTATTAATCGATTTTATCCACCCAATTTGAAGTCATCTCCGGAACTTAAGACATCTTGATGAGATGAACAATAATTCAACTCCTTCAAGGTATAAATTAACATCTACTATCGAATCCGACGAAACTAATTGAATTCTCGAGTTTTCATATTAGAATTTACTTAAATTTGCTTGACAAGTTGTTTAAGTTTTCGAGAATTTAATATTGCAAATCTGATTTCTTTCTGTGGAACAAGAAATCAGCAAATGTTACTGTCATGTTTACCGGATATTAATTACTGTCATTAAATTTGCTTACATTTATGATAAATATTATTCTACTACTATAGATAAAATATCAACTTATTTCTTCTGCTATTTCATTCTGTAAATTATAATTCAAGTTAACAACCATAACCTGTTTATCAGATTCATCTAAACGCTGCTTTGTAGCTAAATAAGCAGATCTGATCTTCTTAAGTTCTTCCAGAAGCTGCTGTTTAGCGCGTATTTCTGACTGCAAAGCTTGTTGAGCTTCTAAGAGCTCAATCTTTGTCTGTTTATTCACTCGTCGTGATCCCCAACCACCACGCTCTGGTCCGCTTGCCGCTACTGGAATTCCTGAAAAAGACATCCCACCTTTTTCGATTATCTTCTATCTCTATTTGGAGCACAGCAAAAACATACCGTAAATAGCCATAGACTGTTACTCAAGTTTGATTTTGGTAAAAGGTGCAGGTTGCATATACAAATAAGCACGTTTGTATCTAGGGAAATAAAAGTCTACATAATTAAAAAAAAGAGCATAAAATCAACACACCATTTGAATAAGTATTATTTATTGATGATGATTGTATTTTGAGCGATTCCACATCTCCATGTAGGCGAGTTGCCAGATTCTGAAATTCAAATTAAAAATAAAATTAGAATATTTATAAATTTTAGCTATTATAAATTCAGCATATATAAGACAGGGTTAACCTGCAGTGAGTCTCTTGCATCTTTTTCATCATTAACCCATTGCAATAATTCCTGAAGTTGGCTTTCAGTAAGACCGGATGTGTTGGGAAATGGAAGTGTTGTTGACAGCCGCGATTTGCTGGAAAAAAACTGTAATGAAATTCCGTCAATTAACAAATCTCAAGTTTCATATGGAAACCTCATACGATTCTCCTGATCTAGACCATATTTGTCTGATAAAATAACTTAGAACAAATAATTGCCTTAGAACACACTTAAAAAAACTGTACATTTCTAAACATAATATCCAAAGAAGGTAGAGAAAGTAACTTACATTTCTGACTGTAATTTGTTCATGTCATTTCTCAACTCATCATTCTCAGTACCAAGCCGAGAATTTTCTCCTTCCAACAACTTTAACCTTCTTTCATAAAGATTCTAAAAACAAAGTAATTTAAATAAACATAAACATTATAGTAAAAACAACAGTTCCTATACCATAACAGTCTTCTCAAAAATTTTCAGCATCATAAACAAACGAAGATGAGATTTCCAGAGATATAATTTTCCCACTAATATTATTTTGTCCAATAAAATTGTAAAATTCAGAATAAAAAAATCTGAGAATGACCGGAAAAATTCACAAAGTCATTATATCTTTAAATAAAATCGACAAAAGAAAGGAACAAACTTCGATGCTAACTATTTGCTCCTCATGTTTTGTACGCCACTCCGTTCTTTCCTCATCGTGACGTTCTTTCAGTTTCATTGACTCCTTTTGCTGTTGATCCAAACTATTCTGTAGATCGATCATTTGTGACTGCAAATATGACATTTTCGGAAAGAAAAAACTTCGATGAACTTTAAATTCTAATTGAGCTGCCTTCTCTAACGTCGACGCTTTCAAATAACAATATTTAAAAATAAATAGGGAAATTTAGTCCCAAAGGAGTTTACTTTCTGCATCTTAAGAACAGGTCGAACGAAATGGTTGATAAACGCGACAAGTCAAGACACAATAAGATAACTGTTTTTGTGAAAGCAAGCAGTCTAAATTCATGATTAAACTGGTCTCAGACCGCATAAGAAAAGTGAATATTCATAAATCTGCTTTAATATATTATATTTAATATATTCATTTTATATTAAAAGAAAATTTGGTCTTGGTTCTTCCAATTTATACCATTCTAACGTGGAAATTAAGATCTCTGCCTTTCCAATTTATCTGTACTTACTTTGTAGCTAAACACAACGGCATGGCCTTCTAATTTATTTCTGGATAAATGACATTGCTTTAATTTGTGTCTAAATTATCAGGTATATACGAAAATTATTGGGTAACCATGACCTGCTTTTTATATCCTTAAAAAAAACAATATCGAGAATACTACAAACTTTCCAATATTCCACCGTTTGTTGACGTTTTTTCTCCTCCGAATCAACCATTTCTGCGTAACGTACGTTTACTTTTTGCAACTCTGATGTTAATCGTGCTACCTCTTCACTTTCAGTTTTCGATTCCTGCGATGCAAGTTTTGTTTGCAACGTTTCACGCAACAAACGTTCGCTTGACAAATCTTGGTGGGCTCGTTCTGCTGTTGCCTCCATTTCTTTTCGAACTGCAATTGGCATTTTGTTCAATGCATTTTGAAAAAAAACCGATTAACAATTGTTTCGAAAAAAAGCTTCCCATTTCCTTAAAACAAAGAACTCTAGAAGTCCGGTCACGAAGCGAGTCTTAAATATCATGTGATAGAAATTCAAATATAGATCACTTCGAATATTTTTACAGACTACAAGATGATTTTCATGTAGTGTTTTTTAAAAAATACGACGAATTAAATTCACTCCTTTCCAATTTGCTCCTAGTCAATTCACTCCTTTCAATTTTAGTTCTCGTTGTCTATTACTAGTCAACCGATGGATAACTAAAATTCTTGGTTATTTCTTTTCACAAATTGAAAATTTTCAATGGAACTGACCACTTTCAAGCCTTCGGAGTTCCGATTTAAACACATCCAACTTCTGTTGCAACTGAAAAAGTTCTGACTCCCGTTCCTTGGCTAATTTTTCGGAACGTTTCAATTTATCTCGTTCATCTAGTAATGCCGTATTAAGCTGCAATAGGAAAAGATCAGATTCTAAAAAAGTCAGTAAATGATTGATCCGATAGATAACTATCTGTCATTAAGAAATGATAAATTGGTGCACTAAATACTTACTTCATCGTAATCTTGCTTAGCCAAATCTCGATGCTTTACAGCTTCTTTTAGTTCCCTTGTTTGTATTGTTAACCTCTCAGATGTTTCCTCCAAATCCTATAAATTATATAAATAAACAATTAAAAGCAAGAATAAGATGGAGTCTTTTTAAATGGAGCTGTAGAGTTATTTTAGAATCGGATAAGGATGTAGTCCAGATTGGATTAAGAAGTTAATGGAAATAATATTGACTAATACCCGTTGTAGATCTTGCTTATCCAAAATTAATTGTCGATTCTTTTCTTTCAGTTCTTTTATTTTCTTTTCTAATTCTTCTTGATTTGAATCTTTCGCTGGTCTCATCGATGAACTATTTTCTTCCGCCAAGCGTTTTTTCAAAATCTATAATAAGGTAAAGATAGAAAAATTTATTTATTTAATACCACCTTGCATTTAAAAAATTTTGCAGGCTTAAATTCGCTTGAGAATATTTCTAATTGCTTTTGTAAGATTTAAATTTAAAAAATGGAAGTTAATTGCTGGAAGAGCCAACAAACATGTAAATGAATATTACATCATATAAGCACCTGCACTTCATCTTTTAATTGAGCTATGGTTTGCTCGTACTTAGTTGAATCACTCACTGTCCCACCATCAGGAGCTGAACCATGAAAACGTGTCTGTATCAGGTGATTTGCCTCTGGAAATCGAAAAATTTACTTTATTTCCGACTTAAAGCAATTTTGACACAATTTAAGAGGTTTCCAATCAGCACTTAATCATTAATGGATGGACACTTAAATCTTAATCCGCTGTTTAAAAAGAACATAGAAAAGGATTAACAAACCTTGAAATTTCCGGGAAAGTTCCGTTCTTTCCTGCTCAAGTCTTTGTATTCTCCTTTCATATGCTTCGGCCGTTAAGGCTGGTAATGAATCAGCACTTGAATCTAATCCTGATAAGGACAAGCTCTTGCAGTCCGACATCATGCTGCAATATAGCAACAAATATGCACTTTGCTTGCAACATGTATTTAAAATTAAAAACACATCACGTGCATTATTAGCAGAAAATATACGGTATTTTAATGCTGTTATCAAAAAGGACAAATTTTACCTGTCGTGAGTGTAAGTAAATCCTATAAAGGGTAAATGATGACCAGTAAATGGCGCGGTAACATTAGGTGGTTTCGTGTCCTAAAAATAATTCAAATCTAGAATACTAAAAAACTTGTATGCGAATGTTTCAAAAGGGGAGAGAACTCGAAATTTGAAATCAAATAAATTTTGAATTATGAAAAACCTTGGCAATTCTATTGTAAAAACAACACTTTTAAATACAGAGAAAAACTTGCACAAGGTGTGAAATCCGGCGAGCATGCTTCCACATCGAAATTTGATGTATCCGTAGGACTTGACACTTCTGGTCGATACGGTGTATCCACTGCAAAAATTGCTCAGATAATTTTTGCTTGATATGAGCTGATTTTAACTCTTCCAAACTTAAGATAAAAAAAGCAAGAGAGAAGCTTCTTTCCACGGCTTGCAAGATATGTAATAAAACTAAGCAACTCGAAATATAATAATTTTTACAGCTGATAATCATTATATTATTCATCAGTTAAAGGCTAGAACAGTTTTTTCATCAAGGGAGAACATAAAGACAAGAAAGATTATTTCCTCTTTTCAAAAAACTATATAATTAATCTTCTTATTTAATATTAATTTCGAAAATTTCAACAAAAAATAGATCAGACAACGTAAGAATAATACTTACTTTCACGGATAGCTTCCCAATCGATACCTTCAAAGAATGGATGCGATGCAAAATCAACGAAACCATTTTGGCCAAGGCGTGTTTCACGTGGACAAATTAGTCGTTTCATTAAATCTTTCGCTTCTTCCGAGATATCAATATCATCCGGAAAATCTAACATTTCCTAAATATGGAAACGGTGTAAAAAAGTGGAGAAGAAAGTAATTTAATTAATTTCATGATGACCCTTACTTTGAGAAAAACAAGTACTTAGGTAAATAAATAAAACGAATAAGAAAATTTTGGGTAAATTAAAAAAAATGCGATATGGGAATCAGAAACAGCGGCCTAAAGAAGGAAGAAGGAAAGCTATACTAATAAATTCAGCATTTCTATCCAATTTTCATTTCAATTCTACGTGCTTCTTTCATAATCCGACAAATATAAAAAATACAATTTTCGGCGAGTCAAAATGGCTCTATCATAACGGAAACAATTGATATAAAGGGAATAATTTGAACGATAAAGCAATTCTGTATAGATCTCATCATCGTTTTTCCGTCATTTATATATCAAATTATACCATGCTGCGGCAACAATAAAGAGTGCATACTGTCATTCAAAGGGGTGAAAGAATTTAAAATAAAATTTATGGTTATTATGACTGTTATTAATAGCCTTTGTTGCAGGGTATTCAGTGGAAAGGTTTACTTCATTTGAAAAATCTATAGGAATGATTTCATATGATGCAAATATTTCTCGAATCTGTGTTATAGACTAAAAAATGCAGTCCTCAAGCACCGTCCAAAGTGACATCTTTGGCATAATAATAACAATAACAATAATAATGATAATAATAATAATTAATATTAAAAATAATAAATAATAAAAAATAGATAAATAATAATTGGCAAATAATAAACAATAATGATAATAATAGTAACAAAAACAATAATAATAATAATAACAAAAACAATAATAATCGTAATAATAAGAATGTACTAATAAGAACAGTAATAATAATAGTAACACTATAGCAACTATTATTATTTATTGTTTATTTAACGTTATTATTACTATTTTTATTGCATATACATTATCATTATTACATTATTATTGCCATTATTGTTACTAATTATTATTATTATTATTATTATTATTATTATTATTATTATTATTAATTATTATTATTATTATTATTATTATTAATTATTATTAATATTATTATCATTATCATTATGATTATAGCAAGCGGCGTTTGTGATATAAAGAAAGAAATCAACGAAAAAAAAATAGAAATCAACTATACACTAATCAGGGAGGAAATGATTAAATAAAACGACCAAATAATAGTCGTTAAATATTCTATCAAAATTTCTAATGTCATTGATTTTCGCTGTTTTTTTAAAAAAACAAACTTGATGGCTCATAATTTTTCCATATGTTTCCACCAAACTTTCAGCATAAAATGGAGCAACTCCATAGAGCATTTCATACATGCATATGCCGAGAGACCACCAATCACATTCTGCACCATAACGTCCACGACCATCTTCCATTGCCTACAACTTATTGTTTTATAGGAAAAAAGTAAAAAAATTATTCATGATTTCGGCAATCCATTCAAAATTGCTAAAACTGAGATTCTTATGATTATAATAATCGCTATACGCGGTAAATTTACAATCTATTTTCCTACACTTATAACACTCAATCATGAGTTATAACAAACATTAATAACTCGTTCTTGTTTCCGATTTTAAATTTTCAGAATTTTTTGAATTTTAAATGATCATTAAAGTTGAAATTCAACATTTACTGCAAAAAACTGTTTCACTTATTAAATAATTAGAAGAAATTTCCGAATAAGTATAAGACAGCACAAATTATGACTAAAATATTATTTTGCCCTTTCAATCCTCATTTTTTTTCCAAAAACTATGTGACTGGCATCATTTCGTTCAACGATGACTAACTCGTAGTATTTCGGGTGATATATAATCAGGTGTGCCGACAGCAACATTAGAATGAACAGTCCCATCAGGAAGCAATTTCAAACAACTTCCAAAATCAGCTAAACGAATATGGCCATTAATATCCAATAATACGTTATCCGGTTTAATATCTCTGCAAAGTAGACAAGGATTTAAAATTTCAAGAAAAATAGTAGTAAATGTCTGATGCTGTACTTCATACAGCAGTAGAAGGTGCACTACAACGAATTTTTTTGCAATCGTCGCATTCAGTATTCGCAGATTCTCGGGTGGTCATGATTACCAATGAAACAGAATTATAGATTTAAAAGAGCTTTTTTTATCTAAATAAATAGCTACGTAGAAATGTCCTAAAATCTAGAGAGAAATTCATAAAAAAGCGAATAAAGGCAGAACTATTGAAATCTAAAGATGTGGTAACAGCGACAAAAATAAGAATTATAAAATGATAAAAATAAACCTGTGTACATATCCTAATCGATGAACTGAATCAATAGCAAGTACCATTTCAGCAATATAAAATCGTGCCATATCTTCAGGTATCCGTACTTCGAATTTCGACAATAATGTTAGTAAATCACCACCCACATAGTAATCCATTATTAAGTACTGAAAAAAAAATTTAAACTGAGATATTTTAAAAGAAAATTTTTACAGCATGCTATTTCCAGTGTGCATTTCTCTTCACAATCCTTAAACATGCTATATAATATATTGAAATACAATACGAAACACGAAACATCAAAGGATTATTCATCAACCAAATAGTAATGAAGGATTGATCGTTAATGTTAAGGAATTCTAACCTGTTTACTAATTACTCGGTAAATTTAATTTTCTCTAGATCTTAAAATTAAACTAACCAAATTTCGCTCATCTTGAAAGGCATAATGAAGACTAGTTATCCAACGGCGATCTCCGTGCACCAAGACATCCCGCTCCTCTCGAAAGCATGCTGTCTCAGCTCGCTTCAACATTTCCCACTTGTTCAATATTTTCATCGCATATACCTAGAAAAAAAGTGAATGCAACCTTTGAATGCAACCGTCTTATTGCAACCTTTTTTCCGATCTCGAGATTCCATACTACTGCAGATTATATTTGCAATTGAAATCCTCTTTTAGTTCGATGGAAATTTAATTTCATCAAGAATATTTTAAGGATGAACTTGATGAATCTCGGCAAAATTTGCATATACCCACACAAATACATCATCAGCAAAAAAAACTGAAAATTTTCTCCTAAAATAAGAAACTGTTTCCGAAAAGAAATAGATCTATACACTTTAATGAACTTTATATGGTATACCCTTTCGGTATTGCGCATTCGTACGACAGCTACTTCGCCAAACGCACCACGTCCAATTACTTTGAGTACTTCGAAATCTTCTCGACATAACCGTAATGCTTTCGCTTTCACTACTACTGGTTTCACTAAAAAACGGTTGAGATCGAATCCATTGACTCAAATTTTGAAGCTTTATGAATTAAAATTCCATTCGATCATTCATTTCACTCAGTATTTTCAACCAACGTTATCCTTTCAAATACTGCAATTTACTGCCTTTCACAGATGTTTAATTTTGATGCCTCCTTCACCATAGCTTATTGAGGTACAAGCATGGGATGAAATATATGGGGATGGAACGAATACTGTGGAAGTACACAACATTCAACTCAACATTAACTAGAATGACATAAATAATATTAATAGGATAATATTAATTATGCCAATTAACTTTACAACAAGAACATAAACAATTGATTCAAAAATATTTAAAAAGTTGAAACCAAAATTTTATCTGTTTATAACATGGGGACACATGGAGGTGTCGTCATGATTAATGAAGCAAAATGAAGTCTTCAGCGAAGTAAAATCTTCCACGTGATCTCATTTTAAATTAGGCTAAGTATATCAGTTTCTAAAAATCGTAAATATATTCATTGATTTAATGATTTAATCTTTTCCGAATATGAACTAACCATATTCAACGAAATCGGCGATATTTTTTTCTTTACGTAACGTTGAACTACAGCATTCATCGAATAAACATATGAGAGCATCTATCAATGATTCAATGGAGAGGACATCTTCACCACGCGATACATTCAAATAACACTGTTCTAGCTGTTTCAAACGTTTTGAGCCGGCTTCACGTAATGACATTATTTACGTCAGATTCCCGTCAAACCACGTCTTCCCGTTACACTGTAAATAAATAAAGAAAATTTTATGTAAGATAAAATATGCTTAAATAACTAATTATCCAACATTTATATAGTATTTATGAATTACTACAGTAATATTACCGTCATTTTGTTTCCTGTATAGTGGCAAAATTGCTTTCTATATTATATGATCAGATAAGTGTTATTTTCCCCGGATATTTACATTCAAAATATAAGAAACAAATAAAGAAAACAATTAAAATTTTGATTTTAAATCAGTTGAAATTTATAGTAAGACGTGACAGAAAGTGAAGTATTACAAGTCATCTTTATTAATAGATAATTTTCAACAACAGCTACTTGATCATTGTATAAATAATTAAAATTGAATTTAATAGAAATATCAGGTCATCTGCCGAATAATTCACATCAACTGATTTAATCATTTTAATCATCTCATAAGTAATCAATAAAATCAATTTTGAACTATATATAATAAATTGTTATGCAAACAAACATTACTGCATGAACTATAACTAATTATGTAATCCTTTCAAATGGAAAAATATGCTGAAAAACAATCCCAGAAAGAAAAGAAATATAGAGAGAAGAGTGAGAGAGAGAGAGAGAGGGAAAAATAATAAATACATTTACATATAAAACTATCCCATCATCATATTAAATTTTGTTCCATCCTTCATCAAAATTTAAAAAAAAAACACATACTTATGCATAAATTCATATCCATAGAGAATACTTAATAAATGAGTAAGCAACTGTCACATCAATTACAATCAATATCGATTTATCTCATTTATTGTTGTCCTTCTTGTTTGAAATCTAACAGAAAGAGAAAAGAAAAACTAAACAAAATATTCTCAATATCCTTTTCAGGAAGAGAGGAAAAATTACTCGCAAAAATGTACTTTCGAAAAATCCTTTTTGCTTTTCAATGATAATGGAAAACGATTGTTGAACATTTCGTCTCTTACTTAACTTATCGTATTTGCCTGTTCATTTAGTTCAACTTGGTAAGTGAAGGAAAAAAAAAGACCTCCAAGTTGGAATAATATTCACTCCACTTATCAGTCCACTTATCCTATCACTCCACTTATCAGTATTTACATCAATATTTATTTATTTTTAAAATTTAAGAGAAAAAAGAAAATAAGATTGATTTTCTTTCAAATACCTATTTTTTTCACATCCTATCCTTCTGCACTATGTCATGAAATTTTCCTCACGAATTAAAATGACTGGAAAACTTATCAACAGAATGACATATAATGTGGCGATAAAGTACATTAAATGCAAGAAACATGAAAGGGACCTTTCTCATTACTTTCATATATCATTTGTTTTCAATGAATAAAAAAATTTAATCCAAATATATGCCAGAATTGAAAACAAACTACTATGAAATTTGAATAATAATGATAATGATAATCATCAAAATTTTAAGCAATATACTACCTTTCAAGAACAAATATAAGCAATAAATTACCACACATATAGTTACTCCAATATATAATATGATAAAACTCACTTCTTTTTCCACTACAGTGTTCCTATAATTTATATCAGAAATGGAAATAAAGTGAACCAAAATAAACAAACTCGAATGAAAGCCTCATTTAAAAGGAAAAAATCGTTTAATTTAGAAAGAAAGAAATTGTGAATTATTAAGAACTTCGCTTGAAATATACAACATTTCCTTTCCAACTTTCAACTAAAACTTTATGTTGCAACGATGTTTTGCAGCATAAAATGTATGCATTCTAACTAACTTAATGGTGATGAATGAATCATACTAACGAAACGATAAATTATAATCCAACTTCTTGCGGAAACTTATTGAATACAGGAATTTGGCGTTAATAACGGTAAGAAAAAAAATCGAATTACCAACCATTTAACTTTTCTAACTGTAACTAGGCACATTTTGATATGCAAACAATGGAATATATATATATACACACACACACACACACACACACACACGCACACATGTAATGCAGAATCAATAAGTACTAACTGTGCATGAACCCATAAAATTCACCAAAAACCCGATTGAAATAAAGATTATTATATTTTGCAATAAGATATTGCCTTCTTTGAGAATTTTTTTATATGCAATTATTCAGACATCTTTTCCTTTTGATTTATGTTGAAATATAATATATATATATTACTATTATTCATGAAAAACACTACCTTATTCCTCTTTTCTTATACAAAAAGTACCACGTTCTCCTTCTACATAATTTTATCATTTTTTATTGTTTATATGACAATACGATATCATTGTTCATCAAAAATTAACAATCATCATTTGTTTCTATTCATAAAAACTATTATTATTATTATTACTTATAAAATAGTATTACATCACTTTCATTAACGTAAAGCTCCTTAGTCGTATCGTATTGTTCATCTAGCAATCCTGATATCAATCTGATTAACTATTCGTGAATTTTAAATCTGAAATTGTTAGATTTTTTTTTCAAACAAAAAGAGAGAAAAAAAGAAACTTACTTTGCGATAACGACGATAGACTGCAGGAAAGAGGACTTTGAAAGACTATAGATTGAATGTTGATGACGTGATTATGGATTAGGCAGAGAAGAATGGACGGAAGTAGAAGGAAAGCTATTATAGTGCTCTAGAAAGGATGAAATAGCTTTTCAATTCGAGTTGTAATATGCTTCGGGATATTACCGTCGCTTCAACAGCTTCCTCCACAAAAGAAAGTACACACATACACACCCGAAAAGTGTTAACCTGAAAAGAAAAAAAAATGAAATCTTGTCAGATAAAAATATTACCTGAAAAGCGGATGACTCGACGATGTTACATGGAAATAATATCAATAATATACGTTTGATAGTGAAAAACTTGGAGATCTTTCTATACCACATTATCAGATATAGCCGAATACCATATAAGTTATATATTCATCTATTCTAGAGTCAGAAAAGGTTCATGTAAGTTAGTCATCTAATCAATTCATATGCCTTAGTTTTTAAGCTAATTTACGGAACATAATTATCCGAGGTAATTCTTCGCATCTTAGACATCTCTGAAACTTTAGACTGAAAAATAAAACAAAATTCTTCTTTCTCCCCTCGATCTTTTTCACCAAAAATTACAGGAAGAAAAAATGAAAATAGTTAAAATGTGTACGATCAATAAGTCAAAGTTAACATTTCGAATAATTACACGAGTCAATGGGTAAGATATCATGAATTATTGCAAAGAAACATATTTGTGCGTTTCGCGGATGTTATATAAACGTAACACATCTTAGTAGTGATGTTGTGATTTATGCTAAAAAAGTTATACCGAACATACCTAACAGTCAGTCAATTGATATCTACCCATACATCTATGACATCTATGAGGCTGTAAACTTTTCGCAAACTTATAATACAATATAGAAAGGTATACCTTAGATTGGATTTCAAAAAACACATAGATGAAAAAAACGATACTCAGACAAAGTTAGGCAAAAACTAAATGATTCATAGCTGTATTAAAATGAAGGACATAGAATGATTGAATGAAATATAAACAGCAACTTTTGTGTAAATGCACCTGTACTATGAAGGTGACAAGTGGTTTGTTAAAACAAGTTAGACTTTAGCCTCATGGAGAGTTTATCAAAACAATTTGCCTGATACGATAGACAGGATATGATGAATTATTCATTTAGCTATAAATATATCCGATGATCTAATAGATAAGCAATGCTTTTTCAAATTTCATTTTTTCCCTATCATTTCATTCCACTTCCTTTCCTATCATATAATGTCCTCTCTGTGAAAAGGTAAAATAGGATGCGATATTTCCAGTAGATTAATTCATTTCATTATTTTAGCTGAATTTGATGTTCCAAAAGAATTGTTTCTCATATCATTCTTCACCAACATTTGTTATCATTCATCCTGAAATTAACATAAAATTAAATGTATTATAAAAAATTAATTTTTTGTAAAAGAAAAGAATAACAAATTTCGCAGTAAAAAATGTTGAAAATAAGACTAATAATTTGATGAAGGAAGCCATGAAATAATTACGATATTATACATCAATCACTAAAATTAAATACATTTTCTAGCAAACAAAAATCTCAATTAGCAAAAATAGAGAGTTTGAAAGTGCTGAAAAATGGAAAAAGGAAAAAGAGTAAGAGTAGCCAAATCATTGTTCCTAATTTTATTTGTTCAAAAAGAGAAGCAAAAATTTTCATTTCTCATCTTTTCCTTCCAGAATATCATCTTCCTACTACGGTATTAGCTCATGGCAATCAAATCAAAAAAACATATTCCTACTTTTTCAAACTTTTAGATAAAATTCCTCCAACAATCTTCATATCGAGTAATTCACTCATTTTTAACAGCACTTTTCCTAACTGACCTAATAACAACCATGTAATTTCTACGAATAACAAATTTCCTCCAAAATATACCCTCGGGATCACGTCGATGTTAACCATAGAAATTTACGCTAAAATATGAAGATATATTAGCATTTGCTTCAAATTTCCGATTGATTGATTTTCCGGACAAAGCAATCACTGTAAATGAGACGTTAAGTTTTACTAATGACAACAGTGCAGATATCAATAAACGAAAGAAATACTTAAAATCAAAATCCGGAAAAACTGAACACAATAGATTGAAAGAAAGAATAACGGGAAAATTAAAATATATTAATATCAATAATCTAATTTCTACGAAAGTATAATGCAACGTAATTAACAAATTAACTACTTTTGCGACCTCTGAATTATTTAATATGATTTTTCGATAATTGTGCCTTAGCAAAGTTAGCAATATATATTATTATAGGTAATAATTTCACTCTTTCAGCTATTCTGTTTAAGACAAAAGCAATGTTTAAGGTAAATTAGAGTTAATGAATTATATTGTTATTTTATTTAAATTAATTAAAAAAAAAACGAAAGGATTTTAATTGCCAGCATTAACAAAATTTACT